GCCCCTTCCCCGCGGCTGCCCCGGAGACAAAGGCGGGGATGTGCGAAGTCGCGCTTGCAGCCACAGGCCTGGACATCATCGCACCATAGAGACATGGCTATGCCTAAGCCTAGGCAAGAGCACAGCGTGCACACAGTGCATAGGGAGGTATCCATTCTCCTCCATACAGCCATGCCCTCATATATTATGTATAAACACCAGCACGTCTCTGTGCTCTCTCGTGCTCGCAGCAAGGCTCTCCCCCCAGGCACTGATGCACCTCACCTTCAAAGGTCATGTTTTCCTCTACTTATGTGAGTGCTGCTTGGTAGCAGGCTTGTCATTCCCTCAAGCCGACCTTCCTCACCAGTAAGTGACAAGCTGGATTTCTGAGATGGGCAAAATAACTATGAGACCAGCAATAACACCTGCTTTGTTCTGCATTAGTCTCACTTTTGTCCTGTGTATTATCCTAGCCCAAATAACTCATAGTCCCATGCCCCAGCTCTGGGTGAAGGGTGGCAAATGATTTAAACAAAAGTCTGGTTGCCGAGTACTACTCCTTCTGAAATCACAGAACATGATCTTGCTTAAGCCCTGCGTCCCTTCCATGTGTTAATTAAACCTCAAAAAAATGGTAACAAATACAACTGAAGTTTCATCTTGCCTGTTTGGATGACAGGAAAAGGTGAGAGAGGTACATCTCATATGCTCCATAAACCTGCTGCTTTCACTGCTGCTTGCAGTGAGGTGTATCTTTTCTGGTACTTGTTAGAAAAGAGGGTGGGATATAGCCCCAACAAGAACTAACAGAATCCCATAAGAATGAAAAGCACAACTCCACAGGAGTAGCTCTCTTACCTTTCAAAATCCAAGTTTTTCTCTTCATGCATTTTTATATGCCAAACAAAATATTTTTGGGTATTTTCAGACACATCACAAATGGCTAATCATTCCATTTTGCATAGTTCATCCCTCTCAGTTTTTGTTTCCTGGCTTTAACCTCTTTTCCTGCACTTGTTTCCTCAGCTTTTAACGCATAACAGGCTTTGGCTGACCTATATGGAAAACAGATTATAATCTAAATCATAATAAAATCTATATGTTCAATAAATAACTCTATAAATCTTTCAAGAAATCTCAATCTATTACAGAAATAAAATAACTTGCCTTTCCCTCGTTGATATTATTTGTTTGCTTAGTGCCATTTGGACCAATGAAATTCTGACATGCAGTGTATTTCTGGAATCTGAAGCTTCAGACTGCACTGGCATGGTTCTAACAAAGGCAGGTATGTTACATCCTAGGGATGTGTTCGGAATTCATACAGTGCTTTTACTGAGGTCTCACCATCCTGGTTTTTTTATGTCTGTTTTCTATTTGGGTCCTCAGTGGTGCCCTTTCTGGAGGGAGTAAGAATTCCCATGAGTCAGATGAGGGATTTTTATGTGCACACTTAACTTTTAAGTGAATAATACTGTTAAACAACTACACCCTCTTTATCTGTTGAAGTGCCACAACATCAGAAATTCCTCTGGGAATTCAAGGGTTCTCTGAATTTTTGCTGACACTTTATGCATTCAGCATTTTAATAGGATACAAAATTTCATCAAGACGATGGTGGCAAACACGTACCTGTGATTTGAGACTGAGAATCCTGCGATGAGGGGCTAAACTGTGGACAGAGTGCCCGGCACATCCCCTCTGCTGGCCTGCGAGAGATCGCGCAGCCCTTCCGAGCCGGCACGGATCTCATCCTGCAGTGACCGCCGAGCTCCCTCTTGTGGGAAGAGGAGCCGCTTGGTTTAGGGAAAAGCTCGCGAGCTGTCACTGAGGAACTGTCCCTTCAGCCTGATCCCGCGCGAAAGAACAGGAGGTTTTGTAAGAAAAAAAATAACTGTAAGAAACAAAATAACTGTAGGACATAAGCTGAGCTTTTAAAATGAGAATTAAAATATGATATCTGATTAATCTGTGCCTGAAACTAAGCAATTGGATTTTTGTAAATACAAAGCAGAACTCTGGGAGAGTTTGACAAGGCTGGCAAGTCTTGAGACATTCCATGCAGTATAAATCATTCTATGAACCCAGAAATAAAGGAACTCTCCTTCAAATTCAGAGAATGGCAATTTCTCACTGTGAGAACAACCTTCTGGCCAAAACCACAGGAAGCTGAGTAACCCTCTCCAATACCAAATACAGATTGTCCTACAACTCACCAAACACTTCATTTCAACTCTCCTGCTCAGAGGATGTGATAAAGAGCAGGGTTCAGAGCATTCACTCACCAGTGCATCATATTAGAACAACCTCTAACTATTGGTGGAAACCTGAAAAGGCACAGAGGGGACAGATTTATTCATGAAGAATGGACTCCAGTCACACCACAAGGCAAACCCGAGCTGGGACCCAACAGGACTCAGAAAGGTCTGAATCACATGACCTATGTGACTATAAATCATAATATCCTGAGTGTCAAATAATCACTCAAAAGGCAAAACAACACCATTAAAAATTAAAAGGCTTTTATAGTAAGAAATTAACTTTGTCAGTTTACTTTCTTAAGTAGCTTTTGATCCATTGCCAGTAGTTTTGCTCAGCACAAATGCACCCTTATATAACCAGGAAATCATTAACATGTTAAGCTTCTACTTATTAAGACAAGAAACAGCATAACATTAGTCCTTCTGGAGGGGAATTGATTATTCCAATTGCTCTTTACCTTTGCTTCAGACTGACTCCAAATTTCACTTCTTCAGTTTCTCACCTGAAAGTTCCACAAGGAAGCTGGAGCTGTGACTGTTGCTGTGATCACTGTGGGAATTCCAGCTGGTACAGAGATCGTGGTTTAGCCTACCCAGGGTTACAGTTCATACAGTTTTTTCAACACTCTTTTCTGTAGTATTAAGGCTTCTTCAAAGCTGATTAATTTGCTGATAGAATGGATTAACATACATAGGTAAAACATTGACCAGATAGAACTTGCAAATTCATATTTATTTTCTATAGTTAGTTTCCTTTGTGCTTTCCTCAGCAACTCATCATTTGCAACACAATCCAAGATCCATTTTAGATGATTAATTATTAATATTGAGTTTGTTGCAGGGGAAATCTCAGTAGCACTAAAAAAATGCCCTTAAAACCAACCAGCCAAGCGAAAAAAAACCCCAAACAAACAAAAGCCAATACACCACCAACAAAAACCCCAGTCTCAAAGCATCCATCATATAATAGAGATGGAGTCAGGCCATTGTCAAGTCACAGTTAATGACTGAGTGAGTATTGCATTTGCAGTTGAACTTTTTGGAGCTCCAGATGATACTAAACAGTAATGACATCAAGCAATGTACTGAATCACTAGAAGAAAACCTGTCCCAGTTGATTTTCCAAGCACCATGATTGTGTTGTTGAAGAGATTGCATCTCTGTGATTTTATACAATAACCAAGCTCATCAACAAAAGAAACCCTTAGGAGACATATTTCTTGAGGGGCAGAAAAAAATCCTGATTTTTATCTTGGATTTGCTACTGAGTCATTTTGCACTATAAACACTAAACCAGCATGCCAGCACTGAAACCCAGCACCAGGCCCAGCCAACCTGACTTGCAGCAGCAGAGGGAACCAGCTTTTCTACTCTCAGCCCAGCACACAGCACAAGCAAAGTGTGGATTGTCATCCTTGGGAAGCAGACTCAGGAACTGGACTAATACATGGAACACCATAAGGTCAAAATATCACACATTTGGATAAATAGCTCCTTACATACCCTCACAGATTCATTTTTTCCACCAAATGCTACATTTGTGTCTTTGCCAACAGTCAGCACAATTGCCAAAGTGAAGACTGTCCAATAAAACAGACAGAGAGTTCTTAGATCTCTATCCATCATTTTTTGTGAAGCTGCTGTAACTTACGTCATAATGAAATAAAAGTAATAAAAAAGATGTTTAAGTCATCTTTTCTCCACTTCTTTCTATGTCTTGTCAAACAAATTGGGGGAAATGTCAGAGAATCTAGAGTATTTTCAGTTTGATGCATTGCTTTATTAACAAGCATCCTTATTTCTTAGCAGCTCAAATCTGAAAGGGCCTGTTATAATTAGTTTTCCAGATACTGTTGTTTCTGCACTGATTGCATTACTATCTTAAGAAACTGTAACTTGTAACCATTCATAAGTTTTCTTCTTTCTCTCCATTTAAAATTATTGCAGTATGAAATTTAAAATACTATATATATTTTTTTAATGCCAGCATAGTATGAAGTGCTGGATATAAATTTTAGAAATATGGAAGTTCTAAGCTGCTGATAGATTCCTAGAGAAAGAGTGTTTCTGCTGTCCCACCTTGATTCCTTCGTTATTTCTATGATTTGAGCACTTACAGTAATTTTGAAGGCCACACATTTGAACAGTTTACTGCAAGCAAAAGATTTATAACATCTCATTTATCTTTAGAGAAATATCATTACCTAGACACTCACAACTGCATGTTAGAATTCAGTGAGCTATTGGAAAATTTAGAAGGAAATAAAATGAGTGTATTTCCCTTCCACTTCTTTGGTACTTCTGCAGTTTAAACCTAATTAGCATAATCAAGCATACTAATGCAATTTCACAAATACTGGCCAAGTATTTGTTATAGTAATTTTTGGCAATGCCATCTGTCAGCAGGAATAACTTTTGAAAGAGGAATGTCTTTGGCCATCAGTCATTGTTGCCCAAAGGAAAACAGAGCATTTTAAAGCTGCTTTACTTCAGTATGGAATCCAACCTTGCTGGCTCTGAGTTCCCACCTCAGCCAGGGATGATCAGGTTCATGACTGAGACCACATATGGTTCCAAAATCTTATTACATTATTACAAAAAAACCCCAAACCAAAGCAGGTGGTTAGAGCAGGGTGCAATAACAACAAGGTTGTGGGTTCAATCCACATATGAGCCATTCACTGAGGAGTTGGACTCGATGATCCCTGTGGGTCCCTTCCAATTAGGAATACCCTGTGAAATCTGTGAATTACTCTTAGCAACAAAGTAGGACTGCATGTAGACAATATTCATGAAGATCAATGCAGAGAAGGAATCTGCATCCTCTTTGGAATATATGTGTTCCATATTATGCACTTGTGAGACCATTCTTTCTTATTCAAGTGAGTGGAAAAGAATAGCATTCTTATCTGGTAACATTTTCAAAATATTAGACAGATGGGATAAAACAACAAAGTTCCTACCTGGACTTCTAGGCTTGGAAGTACTTAAATACTGGGCTCTGATTCTCAAGTGGAAAATGAAAAATAATACAGATTTTTCCTGGATGGAGAAACCACAGTGGAAACTATGCAGTCTGCATTTGTGTATCCATACCTGATACTTAAAAAGATTTTTACTGGAATAGTTCCAAAATACTTGGAATTCACAAAAGCAGATCAGAGTTATTTTATGCTATGACTTTAAAAGGGAAAAACTTATGGATAGCACCCTTTACTCTGAACTGCCACTTTTTTCCTGCCCCCATGAGAATGCAACTTCACTATCTAAGATTTCTAGAGAATTATCAAAGAACAACACACTAAAATGACATCATTTTTGACTACAAGCATTTCTGGCAGACAGGTGAGCACATGGCACTGGCAATGTCTCCTTGCATTAAGGATGTTGTGTTCCAACTACACAGAGGAAGGTTTATGTAACAATTGTACCACCCTGCACAAGGAGCCTGCAGCAGCAAGGGAACTCTCAGAAGGGAAGTTTGGCTGAGTTTTTCCTGCCTTGTTTCCCAAATTAAAGCTCTCTGTTTCTGGCCTGAGAGCTTGCACTGCTGCAGGTGCTCTGTGCTGTGCTGCAGAGAAGCACAGGGCCTGAAGGAACAGTTGACAATTAGCAGCAACTCGGGCTGACTTGAGCGTTGCCTTCTGGGATTTCCAGAATGTTCTCCAGGTCTGTGGAAACAGCAAAGTTATAAAATCAATTCACAAGAAATGATACCATCCAGTACTAAGGGTAACAAAAGCTGGATGCAGACCCAGTCACTCCCATGGGGTAGAACCTGGGTAGACAGTGACATGAATGGGCTTGTAGGTGTTTGAAACTGGCTTTTAATGCTTGAAAAACCTCCCCAGTCCTTCAGACTGTAAACAAGGAAAATACACACAAAAAACAGAACTCCACATACTGATGAGATTTCCTGCCCCAATTTGGGCCATGTGCCCAGGAGTGTTCTCCAGCTCCTTTATCATGGACTGTTCAAAGGCCAAGGCAGCAACTCGGGAAAAGAATTCTTTGACATTTTCCCCTGGGGAGCAAAACAGAAATTATGTGTTTTAACAACTGCACATCAACAGATGATCAGGCATAACAAGCACATCTGTGAACAGCTCACTGCTCAATACTGGGACAGAACAGGCCTCTCCAACAATCTGTCTTCCATTCTGATCACTGCAGAGAGAATTTCTAATTTTCTTACTCTGGAATACTGTACCCTGTACTGCACCTTTATTTTTAGCCACAACAGAGAGAATTCAGTTAGTGGTATAATCTTTTTCCATTGCAAATGTTGAATAGTGGTGCACATGTGTTTTTATGTAACTACCTATGAATTAAACATGCTCAGACCCTGTGAAGCAGCTCAATTACTTCTTTCTGCAAACATGAAAGTGCGAGCACAAATAAAAATGCACAAATAAAATTTGATCATTAATAAACCTGAAGTTTCTAATAGCAACAAAATGCAAGAACAACAACAAAAAAAAAGTGAATGGGGGGAGTGGGGGATAATAAGTTCCTCCCACCTCAACATCAGCCCTTGTGGTTATTTTTACATCTTTTGCAGTAATTTACCTGTTTTGGCTGAGACAGACCAATATTCTGCCCGCATCTCATTGGCCAAGCGGATGGCATCCAGCTCTGTCCTCTCACACACAGCATCTGACTGGGGAGACAACATGGAATAACTGATATAAAAGTGTATCTGGGCTGGTAACAGCACAGAGGTACTGCTTGCACCTGCCCTCTGATGCTTCCAGTTTCTCAGCGGCCTTTCTGACCTCGCCTTAGAACTTGTGCAACCAGCCAGGACTGCGAGAACAGTCCCAGATTTAGTACTGCTTTTAAAATGGAGCCTCCACTCCCCTCCCACAGCCCTGAAAGAAAGCAGGGGGTGACATGAGTAACCATTGTATCAATACATAAGTGGCAGGGAGATGGAAAGACAACAGCCCATCCTTGTCATCCCATCACTCAGCAGAAGAGTTGTGGGACCAATTAATCACAACAGTTCTTTGGGTTTAATCTGTTTTGTCTCTCTCTCATATCCACTTTTCTATTGCATCAGTTTTTACTGTGCTGTAACCCAATGGTCTTCCCCCCCTTTTTATTTTTGCTCTTTTTTAGGACTAAAATTTCTTGCCCTCTCAATGGGATTTTGCTTTCTTGCACTTAGTTTTCAGGTCTTTTCACCCTCTCATTTGTTCTCTGTCACCAATCATAAGTATGCTGCTATTTGCTTTTGATTTCTAGCCTATTTGGGATGGATGACACCGGTCATCCTTTTACAGTTTTCTGTAGATTGTCTTACAATGGAGAACCCCTGCAAACTTGAGAAGAAATCTAAACATTTGGAAATGATTATGTGACATCAAGATGATAAGGAGAATGAATCCAGTTGGGAAGACACTGGCTTCACACTGAAGTAATACCTAGAACCTAAAATCCTTTGCTTTGCTCATGTCTCCCCTTCAGTTGACAGCACTACATTCTAAAATCAGAAATTAACTTCCAGTAAGGTACTCTAGCTTAGACAAGGCTTCAGATGTGTGTCCTCAGAGGTCTGGCACGTTTAGTTTTTATTGCAACTCAGAAAAAGTAGCATAAACTACACAGGGTACCAGAAAAACTGACAGACATGCAATTTTCTAGGACTTATTTTCACTAAAGGGTAAGAAACAAAGTGCAGAAGTGATATTGTGGCAGTTGGGTGGAAATAAAAAAAAATAAATCAATTAAACAGCAAATGAAACAAGTTTGTTTTGAAATCTTTAAAAACTAAGTATTGATAACTGCAGGAAGAGAAACACAAGACTGAGAATGGTATAGAGAGTGCATTATATCCTGTTCTTCCAACACTGATGTCATATTCAACTAAGGAAGAAATCTTCCCTGTTCCTGAATAATGAACACACTGTCCCTAAAAAAAAACAAATTAAAAAAACCTTCAAGATCATTAGGTACGTTTGTATGTGTTTGAAAAATACCATGCAAGAAATATTTCATAACTACTTATTTTTTCAGAAAGCCTCTTCTTAAATTGTTTCCAAGTACACTGTTCTATTTACTTGTTAAGGTTTTTGCTCAAGGTCTTTGTCTCAACAACATTGTGTACAACTTGCAAGGGAAATCATGAGAGGAACTAGGGAAAATCCCATTTCCTTATCTGCATTCAATTTACTCACCACCAAATCTTTTTTTGTTCCAACTAGAAAGATGAAGCTGGAATCTGGTTCATTCTCCCTCAATGCATCTTCTAGCCACTGTCTGAAATACAAAAGAGAAATGACAGAATCAGTCAGAGGGAATGAGGAATATAGGAGAAGGTAACAGATAATGGGGTCACAAGAAAAGTGAGAGGATGAACTTATGTGAGAGTATCAAAAGCCTTTTTTCCAGACAGAAAGAGATCCAGAGCTATTCCAAGTCCTTTGAATACAACGTCTTCCACTAACAAAGTTCAAACATATCCACTTCAGAGTACAAATTCAACAATAATTACAGCACCCAGAGAGGGCATTTCCTATTATTAAGGAGAGGGCAAAGTTTTGATTGAGATAAGGAATAAGAAGGCAGGAAAAAAAGGAAAGGTCTGAACCACATAGCAGATTAGATAGAAAAGAGAATAAAGAAGAGTGAAATAATCTATTCAGCATTATAAAACAGCTCCCTATGAAGGCTGTATGATTCTTGTCTCACAAGCTTTTATATTTTTGTTACTCTGGCAATCAAGTTTCTCTTGAGTCATCCAACACAAGTCAAGGAGGGAAGGGAGTGTGTGCGTGTGTGGGAAATCAGGTTCACAGGCTTCAATTACTTTCAGCCAAGCAGAGACACTAATATATATATTATTTTACAAAGTCCTATGTAAATGAGCTAAGTGCCATAGTACACATTCAAATAAGACAGAATACAAGTTGTAAAGAAGCCTATACCTGCATTACAGTCAAAACAGCACATTAGAAATACATATGCTCTGAACTGTGACAACAGTGTGGATCACAGATCCATGTAGGGTTTGCATCCTGCACTGAAAGCAGGATGAGTTTATCCATAACAATTAACATGCTGTTGTAACCAAACCATTACAAGTATCTGAACCAGTAAGTTTAGCTATATCTACATATACTTTGAGTTCTTAATTTTCTCTCCTCTTTTTGACAGGCTACCTCCCCAGAGAATCACTTCAGAAACTAGAGAAAGAAAATAATTTGGGGATATCAGTGTACCTAAAAAAACGAGAGGCTCTTGAGACATTATGCATGAGATGCATCTCATCATTTTCACCACTTACATTAGATGTCAGCCTGTTATTCTATTTATAGCAAATGAAGTAAAAAAATAATGCTTTTGGGGTGTACCTCATCTCTTCCTGCATGTCTAGTTTTGGAAGGATCAAGCTTTGACTGAAGTGCCTTTTTCTCTGCACTGACTTTAAAGGCAGTCAAGTGTAAATAGTTCAAATCTACGCCCTGCATTTTCTTCAGAAAAATCCCACCCTATGCAATCCAAACAAGTGACTGTCATTTTTCATTTCTTAGCTCAAGAGAAAATACACTCATGATCCAGCAAGTTCTCAACACCTACATATGGAAGGCAATTAAACCTGCTGTAAAACCTTTCAAGGATAAGCCAAAATGCAGAAACTTACTTGGTGTGATCCAAAGTTTGGATATCAGCCAGATCAAACACTGTTATTATAACTGCAATAAAAGACAAGAACAGAATAAAAAGTAATTAAGTTAGAAGGTGTATCAGAATTCTCTCCAACCCATCTTGTTAAACAGAGAGAATGTTTACATATAAGGTGCAAGAACAGATTTAACACACAGGAGGTGGAAGACTATCCATTTGCTCATTCCTTTTCCTTTTCTAGCACCCAGTAAGACTTAAATCCTTAGTCTTCAACCACATTTCACCTTTACCTGTAGTCTGCAGTCCACGGAGCCGTTAACCCTTTTGTTTGGGGACCACTAATTCCTGCAGAAATTGTCTCTTACCAAAGGAAATGCCAGAAATACCCACTTCTAACTCCAACATTAATCTCACCCAAACCCAAATTCTTTTCCCCTTAGACATGAGTGCCAATTTTTATCACTGCAACATCAAAACATTCAGAGCTTGGAGATGTGACAACACATCAATTCACGAATTTCTTCATCCCTTCTTCCCTGCAGGAACAGACAATCCATTCCAGCACACTGGGTCTACAGGTACCTTCCCAAGGAGCATATAGGCATATACATCTCTGGATAAAATACAACCTCCTGACACAGCCAGCATCAAATTAATATTGTTCTCACCCTCTGCTCCTCGGTAGTAAGCAGATGCAATGCACTTGAACTTTTCCTGACCTGCTGTGTCCCATCTGTGCAATGGGGGGAAAAAAGAAATTTCAGGTTAATGAAACCCAGTGTAACCTGAGTAAACATGGTAATGAAGCAGCAGACTGGCACAAGGCAGAGAAGAATGTGATACCAGAGAAGTGTCACCATCTGGAACGTGTTATTCATTAACTCCTGATAGAAATACAGTAAAGCTCTATTATTTAATGAAGACATGTGGACTCTGTTTTAACCTTTTTTTTTTTAAATACCATTCATTTTGGAGAAACAATTCAAATATTTTTATTCTGCATGGCAATACCCTTTCCTCAAAACATTTTTTTTCATCTATGCCATTTGCATGGATTTCTGGGGCAGTCTAATTTTGTACATTTCCTGTGCCTATACTAAATAAATCATGTATTAACCCATGTTAGACTCTTGCAGCTGCTAGATGGGATATCTGTCCATACACTACAAATTAGAGACCTACAGCTCAGTCTACCAGCTACTAATGGCACCATTAAATAAAATCAAGAAAGTGCTTTTTATTAATGAACATTATATGCAGTGCCCCCAGGTACTGCCAGCACTGCAGAGGTTTGGGGTTGTTGTAGCCCAGTGCTGCCACTCACAGATACTTCAAATTTATCTTGTATGGCAATCCCACAGCAGGAGGGGGCACTAGTGCTCATCACATGGAAACGTTCTACCCAGCTCCCGAGGACGTGGCAGATAATGCAACCTGATGTTCAGTAGCTCATGAACCTTATTGCTTCAGTTTGCAAAACACTGACACATGAATCTACATTTTTAGAGGGACTCAAAGGCCTGGTAGAATTTTCCAAAACACAATTGCACTGAAATGAGTGAGAAATGGATTCCTAAGTATATTTCAATAAATACCATGAGCCATCTATTTACATCAGTGATGTCACTGAAAAAAAAGTGTTCCAAAGTGAAAAGGTTTTTAAGATTCATGCATTAAAATACCTCATGCAAAGCATCTTATTTCTGCTTTAGGTCACACTCCAGCACAAATAATTCCATAATGCCCTCTACAGAAAAACATTTTCAGCCACTGGAAACACCAAAGGACTCCCTTCAGCAGACCCAAAGCAGGTGAAAGAAGGGCAGGACTCCCACTAGTCTGACAAATGAAGCTGAAAATCAAAGATAACAGGTTCACATACTAATAAAAACACTCCAGTCTTTTTATGACTTGGGGATAATTAATTAGTCCCTAACTAAGAGGTGTTGAAATCACTGAACACCTTAATATTCATTTCAATGGCTGCAGGAATAAAACTCCCAGTAAAGCCAAGTTCAGTGCTCACCATGCCTTTTAAACCCAAGTGACAGACTGGGGTAACCCTAGAACTGGACAAAGGTTGTGTCAAAAGCTGCCACTTCTCTTTCATGAAAGTTGAGTAAAAGAGGCAGAACTCCACTGAAATGGCACAAGACATCCAAGATGAATTTTCACTGACAAGCTTGTAACATTTTTTAGGGATGAGAAATCCAAGACAGCAAAATTTTTACTAAAACTGCTGGTCCAGGTACAGAACCTTTTTTTTTCAGAACACATTATTCTTTGTGCAATTTCATTATTTTCAAAAGATCTTTATTTCACTGGAGCCTGCAGCAATACAAGCTCTGCTGAGACTGTACTCTGAGCAATGCTTAACCACCCTGTTTCAACTTACATCTGGAGATGATATGGGATTCCAATTATCTCAAAACGTTCCATTTCAAAATCCACTCCAATGGTTGCCTTGTAGTCTCGGTCAAAATTATCTTTACAAAATCTGCAATTAAAAAAAAAGGGATGAAATATTAGTAAAACACAACTACAAATAAATGCAAAACTAACACTGTCAGGGTAAATTATGAAGGAAATAATTAACTAACTGTGGATTGGCTATATATTGTAGAAGCATATATGAAAACACTAAGACACTGATTAAAAAAAAGGAGATACTGTATAGCAAATTATGAAGCACAAACATCTAGTAAGCTTTCAGGATGAGATGAGAATCAGAACATTTTTGGACTGTCAAGGAATGTACAGTATCTTATAGTTTTACTTACAAGGGAATGTATTTTGGGTCATAAATAATGACTCAAATGATTGTCAATGAGATTCGGGGTTTTTAAGTTCTACTTAAGAACTTGAAGAAATAATAACGATGACAATGCTGCAAGCACAGAGAAAAAGGTGTCACAGTGATAATAAGCTACAGAAATTCAGTGATCTGTTCACTGGACTAAATACAAAAAGCATAAGAGCTGTTTTTAACATTCAGTAAAGAATCAAGTAAGTATTTTTTAAGGCATTCTGCCTTAAAGGTCCCTCTGCTCGAGCTTCTCCTCCAGTCTTGCAGCTGTAGAAATGAGTACAGGGACCCACACAAGGACAGCTGAAAAGGGCTCAGTGAACAGCCCTGCAACTAAGGAGAAAACATGAAACCAAGACTCAGACACTGAATTTTTTTTTTCCAATTGTTTAGCCTTTAGACTGGATGTCTTAAGAAAACAATGTATAATATTTGACTGGATAAAAGTACTTCAGAATATAACATAAACTGATTGAAGTGCTAGAGCATGACCTTCTGTGTTGGTGTATTAAGCCTTTCTCATACCATAGTCTTAGTTTTGTCTTTCATTTAATAACAAACCAATGAAGTTCTGAGGTTCATGAAGTACTACTCTCAGTGGACAGCAAGGAAATGTTATAACACTTACTTGAGAAACAGAAAAATCAAACCATCTGCTGAGATGTACTGTACCTGTTGATAAGACTGGTTTTCCCAACATACAGGTCTCCTACCACAACCACTTTGGATATTTTCAGCCTGTTATAAATATTTGAAAATGTTACATGGTTTTAGTTGCAATTTCAACAGTCTCTCTCTAAAAATTCTGATTTAGATCCTTAAATTGCAAGTGATGAGTACATGTACCTGTGACTTAAGTTTCCCAAAGTGCCACTGTGCTGCACGAGCAGAACCTTAAATTGCAAGAAAGGAGGTCACCAAAAAAACAAACCCTTCTGGAGCAGAAATAGTCTGTTTATTACTCTCTATATTTTTTTCTTAATTTTATTCCAGTGGGATATGACTTCTATTGCATTAAAATTGCTTTGACTACAGGTGTATACATTTGACAGTTTACACATAAGACCATAGAGTATCTACATCCTTTGCATTAAAATTAATCACAAGTTTCTCAACAGTACAAATAAATGCAGAAACAAAAAATTGCTGATAATAAAATAACCCACTGCACAATGTGTCTCTGGGAAAAATAACCCACAAGGTTAGAGCCAATACATTTTCTGACTACCTGGAATAATATTAATCTGAAGCTGGCTTCATGTAAATAATCCTCTTTGCTCTAGGTCCTCCCCCAGGATACAGCAGATGGGCTTTGGGTGACTCAGCCTGCATTCTTCAAATTGCAGCTGAGTGTACCTTTTAGGAGATACAGGGGGATAAGTGAATGTAAGTGTTCTTGCTGACCTAAACTTGGATTGGCAAAAATGGCTTAAGAGGTTTAATGTTCTTTTCTAGCAAGGAATGGCTTTTTAAACAAAGGCATTAATCTACTGAATACTATTTCTGGTTACATCAGACTTCCATGTGATGCTGATTCCAAGTTATCTATTCTAAATAGTCCAAATCTTGATTGGTAAGCCATGTGACTAATATTTCTAAAAAAAAAAAGAAGGTGTTTTTGGTGCCAATCAACAATAACTGAGTGGTCACAGGCCCCTATGCTGCTGAAATGTCTCTGCCTGATTAACTGTTACTGAGAAAATACTGAGTAAAATCAATGACATTCAGGGAAAAGCAAAAAAGTAAGTGATGGTTTAGAGGTGTGTGTTCCATTAATTTGTATTGGGGAAAAAATCTCTCCAGATTAGACAATTTAACACACTGATGGAATATTCAGAGAGTCTTAACTACAGCCATTAGCTACTGAATTTCTCAGACTAGCTTTCCAAATGACAAAGAAATATTTTATTACTTGGGATAATGGAAAAGGATAATGGTTATTCCTGTCAAGCTTTACAAGTACTGTACAAAACACTGGCTGCCCTTTTACCCCCATTACACCAAAAAATTATTTAAATCACTGAATAATAATCACTTCTAGAGAGCAGTGACAGAAAAGTGTTTCATTTTATTCACAAAGCCAAAATGTAAAGCTTTTTAGCAGTACTCTGTTACTAGAATAAGTTAACTGGACAGTAGGTTTACTCTGGAAATTAAAAAACAAAACAAAACCACAAACAAACAAAAAACAAAAACCCCAAACCTCAAAACATAGAGATGTTGGCATCAGAAGGGGAAAATGCCTCAATTCAATAAAGGAAGTAGCAAATTACCATGAAACTAAGACAGTGACTGTGCTCCTAAAAAAGTAGTAAAGTCACTGATGTCTCTCAGGGTGATACATTTTAGCTTTCTTTTTTTTTTTTTTTTAGCAAGACTCCCAAGTGAAATGAATAAAATGTTGCATTTAAAGATGTCCATCATGATGAGTCTTGTGGTAATCATCAACTCCAGATTTGAAAGAACAGTGAGCTAACTGTCAGTATTCATAGAAGCTCCACTTTATGGAAGATTCTTCACACTGAAGCACAGAAGCATTTATCACTAAAACATACAGCTATTTATTTTGACTGAATAGTGATGATTTCTAACATAGTTTAGCTTTCCTGCCTTGCTTCAGGAGATTAAATCAGTAATGGTAACAGTTCTGGAAGAGAGAGAAGGTGGAGGAAGAAAATAACTTCAAGATTATTACTAGGGCATAAAACAGCTTATTTGGATCTTCCAACGCTATATATTTACCAGAATTTTGCTTCAGTTTTAAGGAACCATTTAAGAGAACTTCTCAGCATGTAAACTTCAAAAAAGACTAAAACTAGATTCTTAGGTGTTTCAAGAACCTTAGAACTGCTGTGTTTCTATCCCTCCAAAGCCTTTATTATCTGCTCCTTTGGAACACCAACAGAGAACACAACAAGGCTGGATCTGCTGGATCTTTTGAACTAAGTAAATACTTTGAAGTGTTTAATTCAAAGGTGCTGAAAAGCTATTTGTTGCTAAACTGCTCCACCGTTTTTTCAGTGCTATGTATGCCAGCAGTAAAAGTGTCTTTGACACTCCTGGGAAGAAGAGGCACTTTGTTCATTGACTGTCAAACAGGTCAGAGAACTGCCATGTGCATGGGCTTGGCTGCCTTGAAACACTGGAGTGAGGAATATGAGGAAGGAGGGAGGAAAAGCCAGTGAAGAAAGCAGGCTATCAAGAACTGAAAATACCTTCTTTGTTGCATACCTGGTTTGTTCCAAACTCACCCTGCTGCTGCAGTGCTCTGCTGCCAGGCAGTGCTGACCTGTGTGTGGAAGTGCTCCTTAAGCTGCAGACAGGCCTCAGGTGTGTACCACTGAAACACAGAACAGCTGCTGGGACAAACTGCCTGGGGGCTGCTTGGCAAGAGCAAATCAGCAAGGAAAAACAGGGAAGAAGATTATTCAAAGAGTTTGTCGAGCACAGAGTTATCCTGGCATAAGAAAAGAGATAGCTTGGGTTAGAAGGCAGTCAGGCTTCCCCACAGCTGTGCTGTAAAACTCCTTGGGACCATCATTTGACCACCTTTCTGAGCATCAGCATCCAAGCACCCACAGCCAAACACATTTGCTCATCATTCTGTACCACAGTGAGTGCCTTGAATTTTCCCAGTGATCTAAGGCACACAAGACAGACACAGATGGGAGCACACCACCAGCAAGTCATTATTCCTATGAAGTCTCTTCAATCTCTTCTAAGTGTGAAGCACTGTTTTTATTGTTAACCTTTAACTAGGAATTAGTTAAAAATGAAGAAAATGTATTTGATTTCATATTTGCTAAAAATACCTGTTATATTTTTCATAAAAATAAAAGCAAAATATGTGGCTGAGATCAAGCATGGAAAAAAATGCTAACTCCCTTAAAATGGTCTTTTGAACAACTGAAAAAATGGAATGGTAATTCCTTGTCCTTCCATGTCCTTTACTCTTCTATTATACTTCAAATAAAGAAGTCTTTGGGGACATCAAAGGGCTTTTGTCTGTGTTTCTACAGTGCCTGCTACATTTGATCTACTGTATGACTAAGGTTCCTATACAAACAGAAAATTAAAATTGCCTCAAATTCTTCAGCCAAAGCCTCCTAATTAGACTTTTTTTGCATATTTAAGATAAGCTATGGTTCCTATTTCCCCTTGGTGTTGGAGCTCTTTAAGCATGTAATTATTAATGTTTTGCTGAAATAACAAGACAAATATTATAAGATAACACTTTTGTGGCAAGAGTCACTTTTTGTAAAGGTTAAAAAGAACAAGTGAGGATTATTATTAAAGAGGTCAGCATTGAATGGGAATTTGGGGTCACATTAAACTTTGAGAGAAATTCTTAAATAATTTGTAATTTTAAGAGAAGACAAGAAGTGTACATTAAGTTAAATTAAAATAGTATTAGCACAAGGGAAAGATAGATCAGTGTGGCAGGGGCTATACAGAATGCTTACCTTGGGAAACTGGGAGATTATTCTGTCCCTGCTCACTGGGGGAACAAAATGCATTAGGCTGGACTTCATCCTCCAAATCCAGTTAAATACTAGCAGAGAGAAAATATGCAAAGAAAAACATAGTATTCAGGAATTACCTCAATACAGGGACAATATGATCAAACAAAAACTTAACTAAGTTCTTACAGACTTATCTTTTTTTTTTTTGTCTTTTTGGTAAAACTGACAGTTCTTTCACTTAATTTGCATTGAGGGAAACCTGTTTCTTATGTAAAAGGGACCACTTCAGCGTGCACAGCTCTAGTAGCAAACAGTGACCTTCTGAAACTACAAGGAACCAACTCTAGTTCCATGGGAGGGCAGAGAATTGCTTACTTAATTCAACACAAGTGCTTGCACTTTAGCCCTCAAAGGCTTTTGCAGTGCTTAATTTGAAAATCTTGCTCATCGTTGTTTCAAATGCCTCTGCACTGAGCACATTAATAAATGTTAGGGGCTACCAGATTTCATTTGGTCAGAGGGAGAAAGGAAGAAAGATGAAGCTGCCACATTTCTTGGCACAACATCAAACTTTCATCCCAGATCAGCCCAGAAAGAATGAAATCAGTAGATAGTCTGACATGGAAAAAGAATAATGCTCACATGAAAATCACAAATGCATTTAAATGTCTCACCTGAGACATATCAATTTGGTTATGCAATGAAACCTCGTGGGTTGCTGGGGGAGGGGACCCTTAATAGGGTACCAATTTCTCAGTGGCGTTCAAAGAACGTTTCTAATAAGAGCATTTCCATCATGTAGCAAAGTGTAAGGAAGGACTCACCGTGCAGCAGCTGATGCAGCAGGATTCCAGCCACACAAACAGCTCAGCCCGCTGCTACGTGGCCATAGCAACAGGCTTGCAACAATTCCCTTCCTCCCGTTCTTCCACGGACCGGGAAGGCGGAGTTGGAGTGATTTAACTATACGCAGGACCCTGGGTTCAGAAATAAAAACCTGAGTTTAGTAGTCATACAGATTGCTCTGCTCAGAAACCGCTCCATAATAAACCCGATGGCCCCTAATCCTGTATAACGAAACAGTTCCCCTGTCTTTAAACATAGTTGTACATATGGATACAAAGAGCAGGATTAACACAACTGCCAAGGAGCTGAGGGAGTGGGAAACTCTTACGGTGCTAATATTAAGCATAGTAGCAATTATAAAGAAACTCCTAAGGGATTTTTTCAGCATTTCAACTTGATTTCATCTCAGCTTCAGAGTCAGGATGCGCATGCCACTAATGAGACATTCTGAATTATATAAATGTCTTTCTAGTCATTAGTAATCTTGCTTTCTAATGTGCAAAACACCAAAAACAAGGAATAAGAAATCACACAGCTCTTTTGTATTACCTAAGTATTGTTAATCGACTCATTAATTTAGACAGCATTTAGTGTGCCAGACTGCAATTTAGGATGCTAAAGGATTTTGCTGTGTATTTCATTAGGATTTAAATTTCCAAATTTCAGAAGAAAAGAAAGCTCTCCCATTCTAACAGTCATATGTTGATAATGCTGGAACAGGCTTGGAACAAGGAGACAAGCCTCTCCCACTCCTGCAGCAGACTAAAAACGTTAAAGGGCAAATGAATGCAGGCAAGTAATTTTAAACAGCGAGCAAATACATAACAAAAAACCTACAGTTGTGTTTTACAACCCTACAATAAGAACAATACTCAACAAAATTGCTAGTCCACTACTTAGAAATAATTATTTATTCTCTTTTGTGAGGAGTTGCTTTTAAACCACTTCAGACACCCATGTGATCTCGACCACACCAGAACAGCCACTTCCCCCCAAAGAATCCAGATTTGCAGCTGATGGGTTATTCCCCAAAGAAAGTAACATTACAGTATTTATCTATTACCATATGGACAGTTCTACTTATGCTACCTGTGACCATATAAAATTTGAGAGATCTAGAGCCTTTCTATGGTGTGCTCCCACCCTTCTGACAAGCTTGAATGACTGCATGGCAATATTAATGTCTTAATTAATGTCGGAACTATAGTTCTAAAAAGAAAAACTCCACTAGTTGGGTAAGAGTTTCAAACACTAACTTGCTTCTGTCATGTGTACATAGGCTGACTCACTGCTCATCTCCTAGAGCTCTTTCACAAACTAAGCTACAAAAATACCCCCAGTTCAACAATCTCGGTGAATGCAAAGCACAGGAGGAACCAAAGCAAACAAACAGAAATATATCGAAATTGAGGGGCCATCTTCACTTACATTCATTGTATTTAATCTAAATCTCACACATGCATAAACATATCCCAATTTACCGAATCAACAAATTAGGCACACCATTAGAGGGGAAAAAAAAATTAAGAAATACAAAGCTGCTAAAAATACTGAGAATGATCGGTGCTGAGATTCAGATTTTCTCTTCTTACAGAGCTGAAAGGGGATTCAGTCACCAGGGAGGGCTGGGAACATGGTGTCTCCACGGCATCACAACCCTCCTTATCTCAACGCCGCAAGAACAGGAGCACCAGCGGATTCTGTGGATAGACAAAGGATTTGAGGCAGGCATGCAGAAGGCATACATAAAATAAGTTAACGCCATGACCACTAACATCAGTATTCCAAGCTGTGGTGAAGGACAAGACAGCAAAATTCATACCCAAAGCCGAGTCAACACTGAAGGATAAATGAAGTCTCCAGTTTTCTCCTGCCCCTTCTACCCTGAAAAAAGTTCACATTCTTCCAATGGAAATATGGTGCAACTTCACAAATATATAGTTAGGACAGTAAACTCTTCTTTAAATAATCTGCTCTAGAACGTTGCAGAAAAAAAATGAATCCTTTCCAGGAAATACTTTTTAAAGCAGTAATTTTTCTTTTATGGATTTTGAAGATCAACAAAGCAGAATCTATTCCTGTGATGTATTTTAATGCGGCTGATCAGAATTACTTTGGATCAGTAAAATCCAGTTTAAAACCTTTGATTATAATAATTGTTACTCAGACATAATGAAAAAAATCTTGACAATTCCTCTATCTGCACTGAGACCAAATATTTCACAGTACAAGCTATCCAGAGTTTTTCCCTGATACCAGATCACATCTCACAACCCAGAACACCCATAAGCTCTGCCAGCAACATTGCAATGGCATGTTCTTCCCATGCCCCTTCCTCTGAACATCTGTGAAACTACGTAATGATAACAGAAACCCTTGCTACACATTCTAGCTGTTCATAGTGACATTTTGGAGAAGATTAGGAAAGAAAACCTGGTCCAAAACTCCCTGAGTTCTCTTCGACCCTTGCATCTCAAGGCGCTCACCTGCTGTCTTCCTGCCCCGTAACTCGACCACCATTGTGTTCACTCTGAATTTTTCTCAATTTTTCTTTTTCTCAACTGTACCTACTTTGAAAACAGGGGGCGAGAAGAGAGACCGCACACTTCAGCAGAGATGCGAGGTAGAACCGCCCCACACCGGGACCCCAGAGCGCCGTCCCCTCGTGCCCTCACAGACCCCCCGCCCTGAGGGGCCGCCCCTCAGCGCCCGCGGCGCTCCACGGCCGCGCCCCGCGCCCCACTACGCCATTGGCGTAACTCCCTCACGGCAGCCGCGGCCACACGCGGCGCTTACGCTGTTGGCGCAGGGCCGGACGCGGTGTTCGGCTGAGCAGCCGCTATTCACGAAGCGGCGCGTACGCAAAGAGCGGGCGCTGTGGCAACCAGGGCACGCGCGCGGTGCGCGGCCGGCCGGGGCTGAGGGGCGGGAGCCGGGACACGGCGGGACACGGAGCCTTCGGTTATCCAGTGCATTCCTTCGGTTTTGAAGAGAGAAACGGAGTTGTCTAGCGGTTGTTTTAACTTTTCAACTCTTTGCCTTGTGTTGGTTTTTTTTGGGTTTGTTTTTTTTTTTTTTTTTTTTTTGTGGAGCAGTTTCCAATACTGGACGTCGTACGGTTCTCTCAGCAGAGCCGCTTTCCGTGCTGAGGGGAGGGCAGCCACCGCCCGTTCTATCAAACGTTACCGAATTCTGAGGGCGGGTTTAAACTAGATCCCCTTTGAAACAATGTCACTTTGCTTGCTTTTGCTTTAATATTATTATTTTGACCTCCTTTTTGGTTCGGGGCATTGGGCCGCTTCGTTTTAATCCTCTGAAAAACATTACCTCCATCATCTTGCAATTCTAAGCTTCTTTCTTTCTCTTTTTTTTCTCTACAGTGTTCAGTCGAGAATTGAACCAGAAGACAATTCAGCAGATGAACAGATATTAGTGCTGGTGACTGTGCACCAGTCCAGCCTCTTTCACAGCTTCCCGACAGTGTTCATGTGCTAAAATAGCTCCTCTGGGACACAGAGCACTGTTCAAAGTCAGTAGGTGTCATTTTGGCACATTATCTGTCCAGTCACCAAGTACAGCCATTTTGGAGTATTTTTAGAGACAGGGAGAATCCTTCCCAGGAAACTTGGGGATGGTACAGCCTCGTATCTCAGCCTACCTGCCCCCTGCTATAGATCCCACGAAAGCTGCTCTGGCATTTGGGAGGAGGGCCCTTCCCAAGCTGAACGAGGAGTTACAGTCTGCAGAGCTGCTGACGCAGCAGCGGGCACTGATGGCGCTCTGCGATCTGGCCCATGATCCAGAAAAGGTCTACCAGGCAATAGAAATAGGTAAGTGATGTGTTGTCATAAGCTCTGACACAGCAGGGCAGGGTGAGGGGGAAACCCCACTTTCCTTTCTTTTTCCTTACAATATCTTTGATGACACAAAATACCTAGGAAAATTTCTGTTTGTTTTACCTTAGAAAGGTAAAGAATATTATAGTGCCATATACATGGCAGTATTTTAAGAGTTACCCTCACTTTAGGATTTATCAATGCCTCACTCTTAAGTTTTCTCAACCCCTAAGTACAAAAGTAGTTCATATAATTTTTTTTCTGTAGAACCACAGAATCATTAAGGTTGGAAAAGACCTCTAAGATCATCAGGTTGAACCATTAACTGTGTACTGCCATATTCACCTCTAAACCATGTCCCCAGTCTTTATTCTGAATTTAGCTAATTCCTAACATATACTAATTAAAAACAAAAAGAAAGCTTAAATAGTCCAAAGTTAGAAACCCCACCATCACCACTCCCATTGTCACTTAGTTAAATTTCATTTGCCTGGAATCTTTTCTAATTCTGTTATCCATTAACCTTTCAGACATAAACAAAGCAGTGAATTTATAAATTTGTATTATGATAAAACTGCTAAATATATTTTATTTAGAAAGGGGAAAATGGAAGGCTTTTAGTTATCCTAAAGCAGGGGAAAAAGGCAAAATCCCTGGTTTTGTTTTTCTTCATTAGACATTTTCTACCACATATGACAGAGGACAGTTTTACCTTCCTGGATCTGTTATGCTTGAGATGCTCAAAATACTCATTTCTCAGATCCCCTAATAATAACAGGAAAAAATTCTGATGAACATTTTAATTAGTAATAATAAAATAAAATAAAAATAAAATAAAATAATAAAATAATAAAATAATTTTCAGAAAAGATCTACAAGTTTACAGAATCTCTGAAGTCATCTTCTGTCATTAACTCCTTCAGCAGTGAATAAAATGGCACATCCAGATATAATTTTATCAGAGAGACAAAACATAAAGAGCTTTTTATGCAGAACTCCTTCTTAGAGGTGTCTCAGTGGTTGTAGAATAAGCATATAACAAAACAGACAAAAAACCCAAACAAAAAAAACCAAACAAAAGATCCAAACAAAAACACCAATCCCGGAACTTCATGAGAAATTAAGACAGAAGGCAATATAACCAAATTTATCAGACTCATCACAATTACATCTGGCCATCACTATTTTCAGAACCCTTTATCCCAGCACTTAGAAGAATCCTAGGTTTGGATTTTGGAGAAAAGAAAAACCATGAGCTTTCTTTTGCAATTTTTAGCAGTCTGTTGTGTATCTACACACCTCATGTTACACCGAAAAAGTCCTCCAGTTTGCTACTGCTTTTTTCTCCATTTACTTCCTTTGTATTTTTTCCCCTCATAAAAGATAATAATCATGTTTAAAATTTTTTAAGCTCTTGTTTGATTAACAGTAGCTGCCAAAGTAATGCAAGATTATTGTTTGTTTGGGGTTGTGGTTTTTTTTTTGTCAGTGCTACCTGTGCATACACAGAATCATTAATGTTTCACCACATTTATTTCTGTGTGTAAAGCAACACTGTTTTTATGTAGCCTGTGCTACACCTAAAGAAGTTTAAAAATCATCAATCCTGCAAACACATGCTTTTCCAAAGACATCAATAGCTCCACTGACTTATTTTTAGAGTTATGTCACTTTATATTTGCAGGATTAGGATTTAACTTGATAGATAAGTCAGCAGCTTGTTTGCAGCATGACATTTTTGGCAGCAGGCCTTGAAATTTGAAAGTTTCTTCCCCACTTGAGATATGACAACGAGCATTTCACTGTCAGGACAACTTAAAAGTTCTGATTGTTTGCACTTCAAGTTGTGAGAGAAAAATGAGTATTGCTATTTCAAATGAATGCTGAAGGTAAGAAGTGCTAAAATGAACTGTGGTGTCTCCCAGGATTCTTGGCTAACCTGAAGACTTTGCTGGGACATCCTGACAACATCGTCCGGCAAAAGGCAACAGAGGTTCTCTACCTGATGAGTGTGCACAGTGTGGGCAGGTGGGTGTAATTCCAAGCTTACTGAATGCTATGGGAAGTGATGGAGATGTTTCACTGAGACACAAGAACAGAATCTCTAAGTTGTTTTAAGAGAAATGCAACATAAGTAAGAGTAGGTAAGCATCTCACACATATATACGAGTTTTATCATGCTCTGTTAAATCTGTCCTTTGTTTTCAGGCAAGGGCTGATACAAAATGGAGTCATTTCTGCCCTCACTGGGCTCTTGGATGATCCAGTAGATATCTGTCGGAAGAACATCCATCTGGTTTTTGATATGATGGCAGAAATACCTGAAGGTAGGGGTTTTAAGTAGCTAAATATTCAAATAGACAAGGCAGAGAAGAAATCAGGTAAGTTCACCAATGTACTACATTGCAGTTTTATTTTATTCTATTTTTCTTGAAAATCATATTTAAACCCAGTATCTTTTCTATTTTTGCTCGGCTTAGTTTTCTTTAGTTTGTTCATTTTCTTAATTATGCAAGTTAAGGCTCCCTGCTCAAGGTACAGGTTTTGTGCACTACATGCTTGAATTTGTATTTCAGAGTGTTGCATCAAAATTCACTTTGTCCTCTTGTGTTCAAAATGTGGATCAGCTGTTCATCCTGGTGCACTAATTTCTTAAGTTTTCTAATATGAACATCAGTCTTAAACTTTTCCAATTGATCAAAATTATAATTTTAAAATTAAAGTTTCAGTAGATAGAAATTATCAATACTCTTTAAAATAATGGGAAGGTATATTGTCTGAGGAATTCTGTTACATTGCTGGTGCTTAAAAAGAATTAAATGAATTCTTAAAGCCTTGCCGAGTGTACATGAATCCTAAAAATCTAAAGATGTATTTTTACACCTTTCTAAAGTCCTAAATAATTGAATACAAATGAAGGATATTAATATGTTGGGCTAAACAACCTTGAGAACATCATCATAGAAAAACAGATTTTCTTGGAAAAGTCTGTGAAAGCATCTCTGAGTAACTATCCTTGAAAAAAAAGGTGGTTTTCTATTTAGTTAGATAAAAATATAATATATATAAAATAAATATACATGTGTGTATTTAAGGGTTGGAAGATAACTCCTTGAGCAGAATTGTGTCACTGCAGAACGGATTCACACACAGATGGCTACTTACAAGAAAAACAGAAAGGTGCTAAAAACTTTTTTGCTATGAGAAAATTTGGGGAATTATCAGGGATAGCCACACATTTTCCAATAGGTAGTAAGAGTCCTAAGGCCTGACATAATTCATCTGACAAATTACAGATACAGAAACAGCCTCTGCTTGCTAATTCAGCCTTCTTGAGCCAAGAAACTGTCTGTCCTCCTCTTTGCATTTACTGCTACACCTCATGCAGATACTGAGATAGGAGGTACCTGGGGTCAGCTGGGGGAAGTCAGCAGCTAATGCACCATCCCACAGCTCGACTGCTGATGTGCTCTAGAGCTGAGCAGATTTGCAGGCCAGTAAAGCAACATGTTCTGTGCTAGACAAAGAGACAAAAGCTGCACATGCACTTGGCACCAGGTGTGGCTGTTTGTGGTAACTGGGAGGTGGTCAGTGACTCCACTCAGCTCTTTGCCAGGACACCTGGTCTTGCTCCAGTTTAAGAACATGAGGTTATTTTAAGCAAATCCACTTACAGGCTGTTTTTGATTCCTAAATTTAAGGATGTATACCAGTATCTTCCAGGAACAGCGGGATAGTTAAAAACCATAAGGTGGGAAAATCCACAAAGACTGTGAGAACCCTGAAGAGTAACATTTGTAGAAGAAACAACAACTTAGTGGAAAGAATTAACAGGCAAAAGAAAGGCAAAAATAGGATAGATAGGCTATGTATTTAGTAGAGGATAAAAGAGGAAGAAGAACCAGCAGGAAGAGAACATTCAGAACATTGAAAAAATTAATAGCAAAACTTTCACTCTTTGTATAAACAATCAGTTGACACACACAGTACTTGACAACATTAGTGAAAGGGTGTTATGCAATGGTGAGTGACCTGGGCAATAACAACTGCAAAAATAGTTCTAGGAAAAAACATCTTTCATTATGATATGGTTAATACTGGAAAAGTTTAATAATTCTTACCTATTGTCTGTCCTGTTGGTTTGGGGTACTAAATCCTTTTAGACAAAGATGGAGGTGGATTGGATGGGGCAATGGATTTTTAAGCTTGCCAGAACCTCTATTTGGGAAGAGCCCAAGATTTAATATTTCTCTTACATTACTGACTCTCAGTGTCTCCACTATTCCACCCTTGAAAAATGATAGCCACCTGGAGGTGTGGATAAGGACTGTTTAAGGATACCTTTTTCCCTTCAAAACTTGTTTTGCTGCATGGAGTACCAGTGCTGAAAGGACAGATGGCATTCTTACTGCAGCAGATGGGACATCTCTTCTGTGAATGTCACTGTTGCCCAGGTGAAGTGAAATCCCAGCTGTATTAATGCAGCTCTTTCAGGTGGCAGTGCACTGCATCACTGATAAACCTGAGAACTGAGAAAATAGATGCAAATTTAATTGCATGATTTATCCAGGTGGATGACTAAGAGTCAAGGGATTTAATTTCAGCACCTGTCTTCACCCCAGACTTTTTAGTTTTAACTTTCCTATGCCTCAGTTTTCTTATACAATCACAATTTTTATACAGAATTTTCTGTATAAAACCAGGATTTATTTTAACATCTTGAATTCTTCAGCTAGAAAACAGTAACCATGAATTACTCAGAATATTAAGATCAAAAACATCATAGGAATTAAATTATTAGAGAGTTAATAGCAAGAAATTGCTATTCAGAGAACACAATTATATGAATTGATTATTTAAACTCAGTTATTTAGTTCTTTGTTCCTCCCAATATCTATGCTTTTCTCAAGTCAAGTAGGAATACAGGTGGTGTTTTACTTTATTTTCTCCTTCCCAAGGCAGCCTTCACTCAATGAGAAATGGAACTGGCTGCTTTTCTTTAGAAATCCCCTTAGGCCTTGGTTCAAATAGCTGGGTTCTCCACTTCACTGTAGGTTGTCTCTAATATTTATGTTGGAAGGGCCTTCTTAGTTGAATAAAGATTTGTTTTTACTATACAATGTCTCTTACCCTCCTCATAACTTGACTACACTTTTGGTTTTATCCAGCTTTCTTGTCTTAAAGCTGTGCTGTAATGAATGCTGGTGTTTTCTTCTCCCTTCTTTAATGGCCACAGTCCCATGAAAGCTGGAGGTGAAGGAGGCAGAACATCTAACAGACCCTTCCTTGGAAAAGGAAGCCCTGACTAACTTCCTACCTTTTCCACAGTTCCTCCAGCTAACAACAGGGTATCACAGTAGAGAAAGCAAATCAGACTAGAAATGCTGTACATTTTCCCAAAGAAATGAGAGCAATTTGCCAGTAAACAAAGTGCAGAGGATCCTGTACCAGCCATTACCACGTTGCTTTAGTTCACTCACCGAGTCAAGCAGCCTGACTGCAAACATCCCAAGCAGGCAGCAGCACCTTCTCACTACAAGTGAGACCTAAATCCTCCCTCTGTGCCATGACAGACCTTTTATACTGTGAAGGCAAATCCTCATTGGCTCATTTGCCTCTTCAGCTGAAAACAGTTATCAGGGAATGCTTAAAGGGCCCCTGTGTCTTTAGTACAAGGAAAAAATACCATGTTCAAAATTAGGCAGATCTTTTCCCCATTATTATGTCTGGACTGAAGAGTCTTAACCTGTGACTTGAGCCTCAGGGGATATTTTTCTTATTTTGCATTCTCTAGCAAGGTTGAAAATTATTATTGCTTGAATCACTGCCTTCAAGAGTGTTGTAGTTCTCTTGGCAGTCCCAGCTCATCATTAGCTGAAGTCTCCGGGTCACTTAGAAAAATCCTAGCTTGCATTTTGATATTCTCAAACAGGTCAAAAGAGGATTCTTAAGATAAGAAAGATTAGGACTTTTTTAATGCATTTTGTAGCAATGCCAAGAAGCAATCAAAGCAATAAAGCTATCCAAGCACTATCAAATATTTTCAGCTGGTGTCAGAAATGATTAAGGGAATGAAAATTATCCACCATTCTCTAACAGGTGATTTTGGTCTATAACTAACAGTCTCCCCCAAAAATATAACAATAACATGCAACCAGAATTTGTAAGGCTATTATGGGACTAATGGGAACACATCCCTTAAATCTCACTCAGTTGCTCAAGTGTAATTGCTTAATATTGAAATGGCTGAATGTTAATGAATAAATCGAGGAAGGAGATCTGGAGCAAATAAAAGAAACCTCAGCAGCCTGTCATAAAGGAAAGAAAACACCCCAAATATTACCTGATTAAGCAACTGTCATAACACTAATTAATGAACACACTGTAGACACATTCAGTATCATTTGAATTATTTATTTTTTAAGTGGACAATTTAAATGTTGATGTTATTAACTATTTTGTTTTAATTTTCTGAGAGCCCTTGGCTGAGATTTCTTGCACTAATCGTAGTACATCAGGGGAACAAAAGTAGAAGGTGATTTTCCAGTGTGCATGTGTGTCTGTGTCTCTGTGTACGTATGTGCTTTACAGTTATCAAACATTTATTTACACACCAACTTTACACTGAAGTCTTTAAGAAGTCTTTTCTATGGCAGGGGAAAGAACCAACTGACCAAAGACTTGGGTCTATATGATCCATTAGAGATTTTCCAGTACAGTCCCACAGAGCTTCTCATGCATTCAAACTTTTGCCGGAATGTTACTCCATCCAGTAGTGTTTCTTTCTGAGATGAAACCTGGAGCTGAGGAATGCATCTCTTCAGTTTCCTTAATTTCACTAAACTGTAAATAATTTAAATTATTAAATTGAAATATCAAGACATTTAGTTATTGTTCATATCGCTCATCTTTAACCTTCTAATAGTACATCACATTTTAAAAATAATTTAAAAAAACAACAAAAAAAAAGACTTTGGAGGCTATATACTACACAATCTCCATGGCTCCTGCTGCTTGGGAAATATAACATTACAATTCCCAGAATATATTTGGAGCAGTGGAACAGAATTGTCCGTTGGCAACTTTCACATTCAGCAACCCAGACACTACAACAATAATTTAAAAAATTGCTTTGTGATTTATTTTTTTTAATCTGTATTAAAAAAGGAACACTAACCTACTTCTTAAATATAGTTTGGTTTTTGTGAAACACCACAAGATTTGGCAAAAAAAGATGTAAAAGAAGACTGTTTCGATGTATAAAACTCCTTACCAGTAGAAGAAACACTGACCTTAATTTGGCCTAGTCATAGA